AGCCTTGAGCATTACTTTTTATAGTGTATATGATTTTTTGTATATCAATTTCGCTTATTTGTTGGAAGGAAAACTCAAGACTCTTCTGCCTTTTATCATTTTTGTAAAATTCCAGAATTTCAGGATGCATTACCAAGTTGGGATTTGAATTCACGAAAAAGTTATTAAGTTCATCAGGCTTCTTAAGTTCTTCTGGAATATCAGTAGGTTTATTTTTTATTTATATTAAGTGAACCTAGTTCTTTTCAGACTTTGTTCACACCATTTGTTCGCATCGTATGTTGAAAGTACGCTCTTTTTTCATTTTTACATGCTAGAGTGGTATAATTTCTCAAAGATTTATAATACTCATAATGACCTACATTATGTAGGTCATTATGGATCAGTACCAGCTTTTTACAGCGAAACACGTGTCGTGTGTTTTGTGAAACTCTTTATAGTGAAAATTATACAGTAAACTGTAATAATTATTTTTTTAATACGGATTTTCATCAAGTATCGGCCAGCTCTGTTCAATCATAAATAGTCAATCACTCATTGAATATTTTCAATGTCACATTGAATATAAGATTCTTCCTTCAGGCAACGGAACGAAGTCGCCGATATGAAAGCCTCATATCTCAATGTAAAGCAGTGTCGGGACCTGTGGACCTCACACATTTGGCCCGGTCCTTACCAGCACCTACAGGCCGAGGTCCCATCATGAAGAGGATATTCGTACCCCCTCAGCCGCCTCCACCTCCTGATCCAATCGATGGGGAACCTCAAGATATACAGGTTAATGTAAGTATGCAAGTATTTTTATGAAACTCCATCTATACGAAACATTTCTGAATCTCAAACTAGACCAAGGAAAATGGGTGGACATCAACATGCTTTTCAAATGTTTGTGATTGACTACAATTTCCTTGATACGAAACTGAAGTGAGGTTGGAAAAAAAATCTGAATATCAGAGTTTTTCTCTGATAGACACCTGTCAAGTGATGGCTTCGAAATTTAAAAATGATACGGACAACTCTTCGAAGCGTTAATTTTTTAGAGAAAAGTCGATATCAATAATTTTGTTATCACTTAGTTCTGCTTGAGTCATTTAATTATGTTTATGAGCGTATTTGTGATTTTGATCCATTATCACTAATGTGTAAAAACTCCCGATGAGGTCTACCAAAGGAAAATGATGTGAGAATTATCGATATTTGGGAAATGAATAGCTCAGAGGGAAAATGATACATGGTTTCTGTTCAAATTTGGTTTTTTGTTGTCATTTATATCAATCAATCAATCAATCAATCAAAATATGCTTATTTGCTCATACTTATTTGGAATTCAAAATATAACAAACAATAGAAGGTGTATAGTCCATAGAAAGTGTAAATAAGTGTATAGAAAGTGTATAGAAAGTGTATATTTTTGGTCTACAAATCATTCTATTCTATCCACGTAATATTCTTCCAAACTGTAATATCGGAAAAAACTCTTTTTACTTTACTGCTTTTCTGAAGCTGGCGTGGGACGCATAACTTTAATACTATTTGGAAGGTGATTGTACATTTTGCAGACGTTATTTATATAATCCTCAGAGAGAGTGGAAGATGGTAATGGTAGTTTGAGATGGTTACTTTAATGGGTGCGGTATCTACTCCTCATAATGAAATTTTGTTTGTGTTTAAGAAAGGAGAAATGAAACTTTCTATGTTTTTTACCACTTTTATATGTAACTAACATTACGGCAGTTTCCTTCTATAAGGACATTTTCAAATGTATACGTTAAACTTATACATTAATGTATAAGTTTGAAAATATCTCAATTATGATTCCCTACCACGTAGTAATGGCTACATCCATCAATTTATTGTTTATTTTCATTTAAGAGACACACTGTTTCAAGTATAAATATAGAAACTACCGTGAGTATTTTGTGTTTCTTGAAGTGAAGTCTGCACGAATCGCGAAATTTCAGTTTACAGAGGTATCTCAGGTCTCTTGTTTGTAAGACAAAAAACACTTTGAAGAACATTACACCACTTCGGGGCTCACCTTCGAGGTGGAAATCTCCGTAACATAATTTTGCAAACCAACGTCGAAAAGAGCGTTCATCAACACTATTGTTGCCAAATGCCTGGTTTATATTTCGGGCTGTTTCGGCAGCGCTCCGGTTCAATTCGAATTTGTAGAAAAAATTGGCTGAAAATTGTATAGTAGTGAGATGCCAAAAAGAGAAAAGTTTTAATTTGGAAAAAAAAATATCGAGTACAAAATTGTCCATCGACCAGTATAAACCACGACACACTAGAATGAATATTTATTCAGATATGGAGCTTCAAAAACACTTGACATTAAAACTGACAAAACTTTTATAGTAACCTGAATATTTTATGATTTAGGTATTTTTGCTTACCCTTCAGCAATGGAAATCAACTTGAGATACATTTTTGAAATCAGCTCTGCAAGGTTACGCCGAAAATTAGATGTTACATTTGAAATTAACAGGGATGCAGTCGTTACTCGAAAATAGGCCAGTCAGTTTATTTGATCATTATTTAAAAAAAAATAGATCACAATGTTTGGAAAATTCTTGATAATATTGTTCATACAACTCATTATGAGTTTATGTGTCACTCTACAAACGCACTATATATATACAGGCTGATTCACGGTGGATGGCACATTAGACGTTTCTGGTGAACCAGACAACGGATCACTTTGAAAATTTAATGGAGGGCATATTCGGACATTCTCTAGCCAACTAAAATATTTTCGACAATGCGGTGTTGCCGCTTCTATTAGAAAGCAGTAGCAACTTTGATTTTTCAAATG